CCCCCCCCCACCCCCTTTCCTCCTCCCCAAGTTAGGAGGGGACAGGCCCTGCTGCACAGGCCCATGTGTGGCTCTGCATCTCCTCCCTTGACGCAGCCACTGGTTGCTGCCAGTTGTTTCGGTTTTCAAAGCACCATTAGCAAGGAACACAGAGTGCTTTGTTGCCCTGCAGCTCTTTAGGAGACAGCATGATGCTCATGCCCCAGCCTCCAGCTACACCCCCGCTTTGACACAGACAGGCCTCCCCCTAGTGCACTGCCTGTGTCCACGTCCCACTGACATCACTCCATGCGAGGCCTGGGATTAGCCACTGGCTGCACCAGACCTGAGCTCAGGCCTCAGGGCCAGATTTTCCAGTGAGCGCTGCACGCTGGGTGTACCCTGGGTGGTGCCAAACATCCAGCCCTAAGTATCCGAGCGGGAGCTGCTGAGGGACACTGGGCCTGACAGGGCTCTGGACTATTAAACTCTGAGCCAGTCGGAGCAATAAGGCCAATGCCTGAAGTAGCAAGTGGGTTCCTGCACTGAAGAGCCAACAATGAACAAGGCAGCTTGCATAAAAGCCAAGCTAGCCTGCTGAGAGCAGGAGCTGAGTAACACAGGAAGGAGCGTTTATTACAACATCCACATGCAGACATCCAATGCATTCACCCACAAACTCCTCCCACCAGAAGGTGGCAGCAAACATCACTTCTCAAAACCATCCCGGTTCTCGCTAATCCGGACAGGCACCGGTGAAATGGACCGACTCAGCTGAGGCTCCGGGGGAGCCGCGCCCCTACTGTGCTCTTCGGGCCATCAACATTTCTCGGATGTTATCTTCAGCGTCTTTTACACTCCGCTCCAGGTACGATTTCCTCTGCTGCAAAGTAGAAAATCATAACAGACTCAACAGCCGAATCCCCCGGGCACCACGCGCTGGGTTGGAGCAGGAGCTGAACCACTTCCCGTGGTAAGTTTAGTGCTGGGAGTGAATCCTCCCCCATGGAATCAACACTCCTCACCAGACACACGATGCGGACATTGGAGGGGGACGGGGAGGGGGAGGGGATCATTTGGGCTCTATGCAGGACTCAAGTGACAGTTAGTGAAAAAGGTCCCAACACAGACGGATTGAAGAGTAGAACTACTCAAAGAGCCTTCCTTACGCATATTTTGGCACCGCACCTTTACGTGGCTAGTGTGCGTTTCATCCCTTTACAAACCTCGCATTTATAACTGTCATTACATCAGGAACAAAGGACTGAGAGGAGATTGTTTAACTTGATTGCAGTTTGTCAGACATTCATAAACCTCACATCCTGAGCATGAAACAAAGGAAAGGAAAAGAAAAAGTACTTCTGTATTCCTTTCCAAAGTACCTCTGGTGTAGTCACAGTTATAGAATCACCTGGCAGAAACCCCCCAAGGCCCAAAAAATAATCTATTCCCACTCGGATAACACTGGATTATCTATAAAACCCTCTTCTGACCTAGTCACGTTTTCACAGATTGGTGCACTTTTTCCACATTTTGGAGGGCGGGGATTAAGGACTGTGGAATATGGTTATTGACGTGACTTGGCGCAGAGCCAGGAACTAGCCTGCTTTAGCATGGACACCAGAGCCCTAAGCTTGAGCACGGCTGAGGGAAGCCTTAGCACCGGGTCAGTCCAACACAGGACACGCGAGTCCAACGTTCCCTACGGCTGTCAGCCTCCTCCAGTCTGACACACGCTGAGGGGAACCCCCCAAAGGAAACACGGGGCGCGCGCTCAGAGGCTGGGACAAGCTGCCAAAAGGCAGGAAATTCCAGGGTAAAGCTCCAGACCAGACAGTCTCCTGTCAGGCACTGCCAAGACTGGGAGCTCAAAGCAGCAGGAAAAGACATTAGAATGTGGTGCCGTGACACAGCTCTGCCTACACACCTTGGCTACGTCTACACTGGCCCCTTTTCCGAAAGGGGCATGCTAATTTTAAACTTCAGAATAGGGAAATCTGTGGGGGATTTAAATATCCCCCGCGGGATTTAAATAAAGATGTCCGCCGCTTTTTTCCGGCTTGGAGAAAAGTCGGAAAAAAGCGTCTAGACTGGCCCGATCCTCCGGAATAAAGCCCTATTCCTACTTCAAAGTAGGAATAAGAGATCCTTCGGAATAGGGCTTTATTCCGGAGGATCGGGCCAGTCTAGACGCTTTTTTCCGACTTTTCTCCAAGCCGGAAAAAAGCGGCGGACATCTTTATTTAAATCCCGCGGGGGATATTTAAATCCCCCACAGATTTCCCTATTCTGAAGCCAGTGTAGACGTAGCCCTTGTGTGCACGCTCTCCCAGCCAGACTCCAGCCAACAGCCGCTACCGCTGCCGCCTGAGTTCAGCCAAGTACAAGTCTGCAACCCGCGAAGGACAGGTGTTAGCCGCAGCAAGACAGAGAACCAGTGCCCAGTCCTCTAAGTCTATTCCAGCCATGACACCCGGAGCCTCTGGGTTTCCCTCCACCCACCACCACTGCGGAGAGCCCAGGCACTAGCTGCACTAATCCTTAGCACGTGTGCAGCCCCTGCTCCGGAAGCGAGGTGCTTGTACCAACGTGGAAGCAGTAGGGGAAGGGCGATGTGAGCAGCCCACGGGCAGACACACAGTGTGTGTCAGAGCTGTGCTCAGAACTCCACATCCCATCGCCCCGGTGCCAAACCAAGGTGGATGTGGCTGGCTTCAGCTCACACGATCCACCCTGAGGAAGTTACTCGCTAATCAACTGTTGTGTTAGCTGGTGGCTTACGCAATCCCAATTTGTTTGTCCTCAAGGCAAATTTCTATGAGAAAATTTCATGCTTGAAACCTGCCCTCAACAGATGCCAAGTGAGGAAATGGGAGGGGGGGGTCATTTCTATCGCTGTCATTAAACACCCACTTCATCGCAATGCCACCGCTGTCTTTCTGTTCGTGGGATTCAAACCTGCCCTTGAGAAGGAACCCAACCCCCCTTTAGGTCTTGCTTCCGCTGAGTAAAAGCGCAAGGGGCGCTGACCCTGCTGCCATCGCTGAAGCATGCACACTTGGGTGCTGATGAGAAGGCACGTTTCTACGCTCCCCGCTCAGGGCCTCTCCTCCCCCGCAGTGGGGCTGCCCTGCTGGTGAACACACGAGGTGGAGCTGAACACCAAAGAGCCAGATCAGATCAATTCTCGGGTCTTAGGAGCTCTAGATTCAGGTGAGCACAGCACAGGTGAGATGGCTGAACACACCTTCGCTGTGCTCCCACCCGTCACGTGGCTTGCAGGATCCAGTCCCATACCTCGGAGGGGCTGCTCCGCGTCCCTAGTCAGTGCCGAGGGGCCTTGGTGTCTCTCCAACACAAGGATGGCTTAGCACTAGTCAGTCCTCTCCAGGAGGCCTGTGCTCTCAGAGAGGGCGACACTGCGATCACAATGGACAATGCCAGCAATGGAGACCTAGGACTCAGCAAAGTGGAGGCTTGTGCCCCTGGAAAGGGAGATGGAGGAGGCTGGGGAAAGAAGGAGCCAAGCGAGTCCAGAGAGAGCGCTGCAATGTGCTCTCGAGGACACGGGTCGCTCCTCCCCCCCATGGAATGGGCTCACCGGCAGGGGAAGAAGCAACGCACTAAAAGCCCAGCCAAACGAGGGTAACGTTCCCGCTACCTCCACTGAGGCGCAGCCCGAAGAACCAGGGCGTGGCGGGCTCGTTACGTTCTAAGGGCCAAGCTCTGATGAAGGGTGTGGAAGGGAAAGAAGTGTCCTTTCGCCTCAGACTGGCGAGGTCATCACAGGAGCAGTATCAGGAACTGTGTAAACCCGCCTCATTCTCCCATTCCTGGGGCCTAAAGAGGAACTTGGCGCAACTCTCTGGTCCTCTCTTCTGGGGACAGCAGCAGAGCATTATGCAGCTGAGCCGAAAAACCATTTGCCTGATCAGATCAGTTTGAAAATGAGTGTTGAGTGTACAGAGACACACTGCTATTAATGAGGTCCAATCAAATAAGTGAATTTGCATTATCAGAAACTCGACTGCCCTCCTGCGACGATGTGCCCGTTAGCAAAGGCGCCACCGCGGAGATCGGTGCTTCCTAAATCGATGGAAGGGCTTTTCCAGCCCCTCCCCCTGCAGCAAGAGCAAGGTCGACAGAATTATCCTGTTGCTCTAACAGCCTCCATCCTGGGGCCTAGGCCCGATAAACTAGGCCCAAGATCATTTTAAGTGTAGACCAGGCTCAGCTGCTGAGTTGCAAGGGGGAGGGAGGGACAATAAAGGGTTATGTAGCATGAAGAGATTGGGTGGCCAGCTGATGTCTATGTCTGGAACAGAAAGGCTCTCCCCTGCCCCAGCCAGTGAGTGCAAATGACTCCTCATTTAGCTAAGTAAGGACTTATCAGTCGGGCTCTGCTCCCAAGATAGAGCTTTGTCGGTTTAGTGAAGTGGGTCAGCGCAGGCTACAGCGGGTAGTGTCTGAACTGCAACACTCAGCAATCCCGGAAAAAAGCTTCTATCCTGTGTCCCACAAACGAGTCATCCAGTGCTTGAAGTTACCAGGGATTCCTGGGCATGTGGATCCCAGCGCCTCCCGGGCTTCGTTTGCAAGGAAACGGTTTTCAGCACTTTCAGAAGGGAGTTTGTTTTTATGGCACTTGCCTTTCACTGATATTTACAGGACATCCGAATATGGAGGAGTGACCTGCTATTACACCCCTCTGGCATGTGGAGTAGCCTGTTAATTATTGCCCAGCTGAGGAACGGAAGCAGACGGCTGCCCTGACAGCAGCTGAATGCACAAGGAAATTATTTAATGAGATCTGTAGTTCTAAATCTTTGGGCATAGGGCATATTTCATGTTTGATTAAAAACCACCTCGCTGAGTCAGAGCGGGGCCAGAAGAGGGGACTGTGAGGAGCAAACCTGAAAGGCTGCATTTGCCAGTATTGCTCACTGCACCACTCACCGATCTTATCTAAAGTGCTCCACATTCACCCCACCGGCTCCTTCACCACCGCCTGCCTTCCCTGTGAGCTGAGCGCTTGGGTGACCACCCAGGAAAGATTCAAATGCCGCCCAGCTGATTAGCAGAGCACCTACCACTAGCAGCAGATGTTCCTACTGGTGATGCACAATCTGCACGTGCCTCAGTGCACATAAAAATTCATTCTGCACATGGATGGGAAAAATTAGAGGGAACACTGACCACCTCCTACGCTAGCATCTGTGTGGGAATCTCCCACCATGACACTATCACCAGTGCTATTTAGAGCAGGTCTAGACCAAATGGTGGAAACATCTTGTCTACACTAGAACTCTCACCATGCTACAACCAGTGGGAGATTCCCCAAGATGCCAATGCCCTCTGTTTCACTTTCAGAGACTGAGTAGCTACAGGGCCTTCCTCCATCTATACTGCTACCTGGAAGGTATCTATGGATTGAACTTGTCAACCCATTTGCCAACTCTCTTATTTCCCTACCACATACTGGTGCATACTGGGTTAAAACTAGAGCTGTCAATGAATTGCAGTTAATTCATGAGATTAACAAAACATTAATCATGATTAATTGCACTGTTAATTCCAACTGAAATTTATTAAATATTTTGGAAGTTTTTCTGCATTTTCAAACATATTGTTTTCCATTACAATGCAAAATACAAAGTGCAGTATTCACTTTATATTACAAATATTTACACTATAAAAATGATAAACAAAAGAAACAGTATTTTTTCAATTCACCTCATAAGTACTGTAATTCAATCACTTTATTGTGAAAGTGTAATTTACACAGATTTTTTTTACATAACTGCACTCAAAAACAAAATATAGAATTCAGCACCTACATGTCCACTCAGTCCTACTTGTTGTTCAGCCAATTGCTCCGAAAAA